CTTTAAATTTATGCTTAAAGCTATGAAACTGATTTTATCCTTAGGAAAAATGTATGTTGGCTTATTTTGAGGTACCCCTCTAAAAACCTTTCCGTGATATCACAGTAGTCTATCCTCGTATATGCATTGCTTGTGCTAAATATTGTGTTTGATGTTCACATCTATTTGAAGAAAAGCTCTATAAAATTATATAGCTGCACAAACAGCAGACCTTTTTACAAACCTTACGACAGAAAATCTATATTCACATCAGAATAACACATTGAGATGTGATATGGGTTTTTTATAATATTTAATGAGATCGTTCAGCTCATGTACTCATGAGTTTAGCCTATGAATTGTTTCATAAACAAACAAGTAAGCCAGCTACATGTTATCATCCCCATTTCACAGGTGGAAATACTGAGGCGTGGTGCCGAAGAGACACACCTCCCAGCAGTTATACTAAACAGCCATGTGCTCAAATTTTTTGAAAAATCAGATGGTAAGGGAGTCATCAAAGATTGGGATGACAGACATGGAAAGTGAAATACGTTCTTTTACTCCAGCTGTAATGTCAGTAGGCGGGCAGGCTGCCTGCACCTGAATTTAGCCCTTCTCCAATCATTCACCAAGGGAAAAAAAAAATTGTGTTTGCAGAAGCACATAGCAGGACCAAAAAAAAAAAAAAAAAAAGGACTAATAATCAAAAATAGTTCTAGGGGCATATCAGGACTGCTGTGAAATTACATTCTAGTATTTTAGGACATTTCCAATTCCCTAATAAATTAAAGATTAGACCATGTGTGTGCCTGCATTCGGAAAATATACTTTCCCTTACTAGTTCAACATCTGCTAATTTGGTAATACCTGCTCTGAAAGACATATGAATGAACCTAAAAGAATTTTGCCCCTTTTTAGATTCTGATGTGAAAGCCTATAACACTTCTGCATAATTTCCCAAAATTTTAACTTCAGTTTTAAATCACTAGGAAGAAGCACTTTTTCCTAATATGACATCTGGTCAATTTCATAACAGTAAGTTCAAACAGATGCAATAAGAAGTTTTATATTTAAGTTACAGATTATCAGTATATTTTATGGCATCAGCTTTTGCCACAGGTGTAGTAGTTGTGGATTTTTATGTCACTTTTTAATACAAACTGACTGCACAGTATAAGAAAATTAATTTGCTCTTTCAAGGAGTCAAAATGCAAGTTTCTAGTGGTTTAGTAAATAGAACTGCTGTCCGACATACAGAAACATTAAGTTTTGTTAACATCTGATTTAAGACTTTACATAATAAACAAAAAGATCCCTGTTATTTCCTCCTCTTTTTTAAATAATCACAAGGTTGAAACACATAAGAAAGCAAAACTTCTATTTCTACAGGATCAGGATAACCTGAATGCTAGCATCATGTTTTTGCTTTTGTGAATATTATTTATATTTTGTATCAGTAAAGTGCTAGTGGTAAGTGATATGCTAAAAAAATAAAACTGCTTTGGAAAAATAATTTTAAACATAGTCAACTGAAACAGCTTCTCACCAATAAATTCCCATAAAACATTTAAAAAGATTATCTTGGTAGAACTGACTTAATGAATACTCAAAATGCAAGCTCAAATCTACCCTGTAAAGCAATCATGCTTTTTTAGCAACTATTTTGACCTTAGTGACACAAACAATTAATTCTACGAACTTAATATCAAAATAAAATTCTACAACTAATGCAGAATAATCTGTCAATGTATTTAATCAAGGGAATGCTTTTTCCATCTATTATATATTCTAGTATCAAACACAGATTTTAACAGACAAGAAAAAAATGAAAGTGAAAACCTCAGAAATGTACGAATGTACGTGTAGGAGAAAGAGAATGTCTCGTCATAAGCCAAAAAAAGCAGAAGAAACAAGTCTGAGCAGAGTACAGTTTACATCATATTTTAATAATAAAAATCTACATTCATTTTAGCAATATTTATTCACTGATAAATATCGACAGTAAGATAAAAAGTTGCTTACGTTCTAGTCATACATCTTCAAAGCCGACCTGATGATTTGTGACAGCATCCAATCCATTTATCACCAAGTGTATATAACAATATATTATAGAATACTGTCATTCTCTCTTGATACATGGATGAGGAATAACTCCCTGATTTAAGTCAAACTGCACATTTCTATATAAAGATCACAACAACGCAGTTCATCAAGCCAATAACAGGACTGTCCAGACTCCATACAATTGCTTATAAGAATTTAATGAAGTATATTATTTTAGCTTATTTACTTTCTATAAATCCACCAATTTGTGATCATAATGCTTGAACAAGATACAAATTGTACAGAACTTTAAATTTTTAACTTCACCAAGTTGCTCTTTGTATGTGGTCTAAAATTTGTTATGTTTAACTTTCCCCAGTACACATTCATGCCACAGTGGAAACTTATTGTGTGATTTTACTCAGCTGATATAGCTATTCTTAAGCATTAGCATCACTTTATGCAGCTGCCCAGCTGAAGGAAACGTATTAAAACCAGCAATCACTTACTTGCTTCCTTTAGAAAAGCTATAACGAATTTGATTTGTTTATTTGAAGGCCCCCAATAAAATGATTCAGAGAAGCCAAAACCAGCATGTTAAACTATGACATCGGTACTTTATATCTTGTACGTATTTAAACAATAAAAAATGTTAAGAATAATAACTGCAGGTACAATGGGGTTTGGTCTGTTTTTCTACTTGTCAAAGTTTGTTAGACAAGTCGCATATTAAAAATAATATTTTAGAGAGTCAGTACAGTGACAGTAATAAAACCAGCCATCATTTTTCTCTTAAATCACGTTTCGAAAGGCATCTGGTCAAAAACAGAAAAAAGAAAAGAAACAGCAGAAAGAGGAAGAAAAGCAAAAGTAGCATAAAGCTATGGCCATTATCTAAAGGATGTCCCGCTGAATGTTTACTAGTGTCTATGTTTCACATCAACATATTTTATAGAAGGATTTATATGCCTAACTCAAGTTGTATTTAAATCCTATGGTGCAGACCCTACCATAAAATGCCTCTTGAGTCCTATTAACTGTACCCATGGTTTTACTTTGCCTGTCTGCTTATTTAAGATCTAATCACAGTTTTGAAGAAAAGATTGTCACTTCTAAGCCTGTCTCCTCAGAACCTGTCTGTTATTAGTACTCAACTGGATATTTTCATCTTCAGTTGTTATTCTCTGTGGTCTTTGCAAATGCTATCTACTAGAATCTGTGACTGTATGGACAAATTGGCTACAAATGCCTAGGTCTGCTGACTTGAGAAACATGTAAGTGACACAATATCTGTCAATATTTTGTGTTTTAAAAGAGTTTCACTTAAATTCAGTTTTTTAAACATTTTCACCAATTAAATGCACTCTCTCTCAATAAAGATTTTAAAATGCTTTTATAATCTGAACACCTGAATAAAGGTGATGGCATGTTTTTCTATGAAAACAATATTAAATATATATGTGTGTATGTATAATTTAATATAAAAATAGTACATACACACAGTGTACATATATAGATAATTGTGTGTGTGTATGTATGTATATAGGTGTAAACCTGCTAAGAACTTAATGAAGACACTGAAACGTGTATTTCCTCAGACTGTAACACTGAAAGTGCTCAACTGTTAAAACAGAATACACTTGAATTTGAAGCAAGGTACAGATTTAAGCCTTAAGAACTTCTCATATTTCAATCAACAACTACTTAATTCTTCCCCATTTTCTGTCACCATTTGAAATATTTAACTATAAATGCAGCTAGTGTACACTGCGTAATTCAGCACTAAGAATGATTCGGTTTTAAGAGCTATTATGACCTGTTATTTCAGAGGCCCGTACACATGCAATTTATCTATCATGTTAAAACATGTTTCAATAAGACAGGACTTTTATAATACTTTATTTTACGGGAGAGAACTTTCCTTGCATTAATGCAATACCTGATGTGGTAAGGAAAAACCTCAGTATTTACAAAGGATGGGTCTGAACCCCAAAGGCGCTGCGTGGCCTCAGCAGACGAGAGGACCAGACACTGACGACTTTCGGGAGTTCAGAGCAGGTACCTGGCACTCTGCAGAGTCAGCCCCCGACTGTTTACCAAACAAACTGCTTGGGCTTCGCTGCCTCAGGACAGCCCGCGTCCGGTGACGGGGAGGCAACTCTTTAGGTAGACGAAGTGGAAGGAATTCTGTTTGTGCAGGTTTTAAAAGGAAAAGAAATCTCACAGTGACAAGAATGAACTGACTGCATCTTATAATTAGACAGCGTCAGCAGTCAGACAACGGTCTAATTTTGCAGTTTCAGACACAAAAGCAGTTCTCCAACTCGTTGAGAAAACAGACAAACTTAAAAAAAAGAACGTTTTAAAAGCGAGAATGGAAACATACCTACAGAAAAGCTGCTTCTCTCTTTCCCCATTTTTTCATACTCACACATCCAAATTACACTCACGCGCACGCAGACAGGCACACACTCTCTTTTATTTCCGCGCTTCCCAAGGAACCCGCGTTTCTTTATTGACACCGACGCCAGCCCCGCACCTTTCTGGCGAGGCGTCCCGGCAGTCCCTGCACCCCAGCTCGGCGGCTGGAAGGGTTCCTCGCCAAGTCTGGCCCCTTGGTGAAACGCCCCGCAGCACGCCCCAGCCCCCCCAGCCGCGCCGTAAGCCCACGGGCTCCCGAAACATCCCCTGCCAGGCTTCACCGCAACTTTGATAAACACCCTATGGGGATTTATTCAAATTACCAGGCGAGCACGGCGGTGCGCGGCGGGGTCAGCCGAGACGTTGCTCCCGCGCAAAAGGGAGCCTCGCGTTGCAGCATTAACGTGCCACGAAAACGACAACAAATAACGCCCCGCGCTCTTCGCTTGCACGCCGCTCCACGCTCAGCACACGCAGAGGGTCTGCGGGAGGGTGCCCGTCCGAAAAGAGCCCTTCATTTGTTGCAAAACAAACAGGAAGGAAAACAAACTTACCTGCTGTTGTTGCAGATGCAGCAGTTCCACTGTGCTTACTTCAGTGCTCGTGTCACCACTTGATCTTCCATCTCTGCTGCCAGCATCTAATTGGCTGCTTAGAGTGCTCATTCCATTTTGATTCATTGAACTGTTGCTTATTGTCTCTGTTGCAGATTCCTGCATCATGACTTAATACCTAGAAGTGATTAAGAAGTATCAATTAACACACACGTTACACCTTCGCACTTCCATTATCAAGATGTCCCTCTCTGCCAATTACACAGGCAGCATCTTTAGAAGAAGAAAAAAGCCTCGCGGAGCCGTTTACCAAGAAATGCGATGCAAACTCTGCTTTCACACAGATACTAATCACCGGAATTATGGTTTCTATAAGCAATCTCTGTGTGCTTACATTTAACGGCCAAAATAACACACCACGCACGCAGCATGGTCAATAGCATTTACGAACGACTACATTTTAAAGTCTACCTATAAAACCAGTTTAAATGAAGGCACGATTTCACACACTGCTCTATATTTCCTATTATCTAGCTTTGACAACCATGGATGACTATACAGCCTTATTTAAAATATTCACTATCTTGATTCTGTCAGAATTTTACAGCGTATCTTATGCAAGGCTGTTGTTTAATGATGCACAGCTAATCATACAAAATTAAAATTTTGTAAGGGTGTTACAAATCATATGGTATCAACCAATGATAAATAGTATAATGGGCTTCTCCTTTTTTGTGACTAAATAAAATTTTGCCTCGGAGGCATTTTAAGAAAAAGCTCCTGCTGCAAACACGTCAGATATTGCCTATTTTTTTAATCAAACGTCTGATATTCATTTATTTTTCTGACATTTAAAACATTTAATACTGTCCTTCCTGGGAAGTAATTAAGCTTATGCATGAGCAGCAATCAAACTGTTCACTTGAAGATGACTTAAAACTCAATTTTAACATAGGCAAATAAATGAAAGATATAAAATTAATTTTCCAGGCATGTATTAGATATGAAAGCTGGAAATAAAATCTATCAAGAATATCACTAATGATTGTGCTAAAAACAGCATAAATTATGCATATTACCTTCTCTACAGTAATAAATGTTTTATCATTTTCACTGCATAAATATACTGTACTTTCAGGATAGCAATGAGATGTCCTGCCAAGATCAGTTGAAATCTTTGCAGTAAATAAAGAACCAGCATGCCCTCACAAACCAGAAATTCAAGGCGCATTTTGTAGCTGTAATATGGAAAGGTCAGCGCCTCTTCTCAGAGCCACCAAAGTCCTCTCCTGCTCTCGCAGGGTCAGAGCAGACCTCACTTTCCTTCACCCTCACTCCCGACGTACTGAACGAGTCCCCACAACAACCTGGCTGGGCTGTGACTTTAAAAGACACCTCTGAAGGGAGAGGGACGTGCAAGCAAACTCAGGAAAAGAAACAAAGCTTGCTGCTTAGCCTAATTATTGAACTTCAGTTATTTGTTCCCTTGCAAAGTATGAGCAATAGCCTTTCTGTGGGGAAAAAAAAAAAGAAAGAAAAAGCAGGAAAAGGATCATTACAACTTCAGCTACATGCACGGGATATTAATCAAAATGCTTTATTAATTAACACTAACGCGCCTACAAGACAAAGTGAAAGCATATCTTGTGTGAAGAAAGTTAGAATAGTAAAAGGTGAGTTATTTAAAGATGGTCTGGTCAAAAATAAACAGGATGCAAAAAACCCAAACACGAACACAGTTAACATAAGAGAGGGCTGCTGTTATAGCCCAGTAAACAACAGCAGCGCCAGATGTGTTTACGAACAAACAGCCCTTCTTAAACACTCTGACGAACATCAGTGAAGAAAAATAATAGAAATGGAAAACGTGATACACGCAGTGATGAATTTTACAAGGCAAAAACAAAGCTAATACTCTTTTCTGAGATTAGGCAGCTAATAAGTATTCAAATTAGGCATAAATTTTGCATGTACAATGTTTAAAATATTCAGAGAAAACGGTCTGATTGCCCTTAGTAGTTATATGAAAATTCTAATGCAGGTATGCCACAACTGTGGGAGCAGGCAGCCCTTTCTGATTTTTACAATATTTACTTTCAATAAAAAGACATGTATATCAGAGTGGAAATCTATTTAAAACACTTCATCAACTGTATCGTTACAAGGATTTGGAAATTCAGGAAATTCAAACATTAATCCTCTTTTAGTCAAACAAAGATTTAGCCAACAGACAGGTTCATCTTTTACAAATTCGAGCGTTAGACAATAACAGTGGTACATTTAGCCAAGCGCATTAAAAGGGCAAAGGAGTGTAAATCTTGGACAATCAAAACATTAGAAAACACTCGGAAATGTAATAAATAAGTACATCAGCCCCCCTGTTTTTACATCTTTCTGACTCTTTCATTACAATTAGCAGAGAAGGGTTAAACATCTTCCAGTTCATATTAACCAAAAGGGTTTATGTCTTGTGGATTTTGTATCCCCACAAAGCCCCAGAGTGTAGTTCAGGCTCTGCATTTTAAGTTAAAATGTCTGTGAGCCAGCAGGATCGGCTTTAACAGAACGCGACCAGTAACACTACTCTAGCAACAGAAAACAACAAATCCGACCCAACAGCTGTGTACCGAGAGAAGGAAACTAGATAGAGTATCAATACCAGAAAGGGCAATTTCTTTGGAAGTGGAAGAAATGCTTAAGTATTTATATGAAGAAGAAAGACTCCCTAGAATTCTAGGTTAAAAATAGAATGTTTTTTTTTTTTTTCTAGTTGTAAAAGGGTATTTTTAAAAACAATACCGAAACTTTGGCTTGAGTAATGCTCTGTGTTGGTTGTCCACAGCCCCCTTCTCACTGCCGGCAACAGAAAAAGGGCTGCTGGAAACAGCAAGAGCACAGAATCTTTTTCTTTTCCCTTCTTTTGTCTTGCATTCACACACACACACACGTGTGTATACATGTATCTCTATGCACATGTGTGTGTATGCACTATCAACTCTAAACCCTCACAAATTAAAGCATTGAAAACATCTGAATGAGGATCATTTCTGCTACCTGTGTATCAGTAATTTCAGTTATTGGTGGCAGTATAAACTGAATCTGCAACATCTCACTAAGCAAATGAACGTACTTTTTTTCTTTTACAACAGTAGCACAGGTTGTTAGCATAACAGTCATAAACAAACCCAAAGGAAACACAATGACTACCAGAACTCAGGCTGAAAGTTTAGTATTTCAAATAGGACAAGAAAAAATATACAGGTCCCTGTTTACACACATTTATATACATTCGCACTTCCTAATCCTCCTCTTCTTCTCCTGCCGTCACACTCGCTGTCAGTCATGAGCGTGCCTACACAGGCAGACACGCACACACGCACCCACTTTCACAGACACACACGTCCACCAGCACCTACTTCTGCTGCGACTCCCCAACTCTTGTTGCCAAAGGTGAGCTATAAGCCCTGCTACCAGGTATTTTAAACAAAGCTACCGGAAAAATATTTGCTGCTCTCTGCCAGAGAGAACAAAATTGTGGATTATTTCAGCGTGTGGCTGTGCTGCGGGTTGAATGCCTGGTTCTGCCAGGATAACCACGCAATCACCCACACCACCCGAAAAAGAAATCCCAGTCCTGTGAAGCTGGAAGCTACGGTTTGACTTTTCTCCCCTGCAGTAAACGGTATGTTTTCTGCGCACGTGTGTGCGCGCACGTGCACGCGCGTGTGCTTTAAGCCGGCAAGTCACTGTACAGATACTTATTCTCTACACCGCTTCCCTTTTGAAACATTAAACTGACACTGGAACTGACTGCACAAGATTGCATTTTCTCTTCCTAAACAACTTGAATTGAAAGGTTACTTAGTGTAACAATATTTACTTGCAGAATTGTGTTGTTACCAAGGGTATAATGGATGGTGGCTATGCAGGTTTACGCAAGAATGAGTGAAGCATGAGGCATTAGCCATGTGTTTGACATGTTTCAAATTGCTATAATCCAGCATTAAACACACCCAGCAATTCATGCCATTTCTTGCAGCCATAATCTTGAATAAAGCATGCACAACCACTTATTACATAAATTAGTATATGACACCCTGTTATAGTCACAACAGTGCTTTTGTGTTTATTTTGCATCAAGATGTGGTCTTTTATTTGTACAAATAGCAGGATAGAGAGCCGTAGCTCAATTAGACCTCCTTACTTTATGACAGGGCGTGCCGAACGCCAGGCTCACGGCGTTTTTTCTGCCCTGCCAGGTACAGGTTCTGCCGGCACCCAAGCCCCTGGGAGCCAAGGGCTGCTGCTGCAGGCTGCCCTTCTCCC